TGAAGAATTCAATTACTATATTATATAGTAATATGTTACATAGTAATATAGTATGGAATTCCAACTCATATTAAGAATTTCTTCAAGGGGCCCCCCTGGTAGCGCAAGGGGTTAAGACACAGCACTATGAAGCTATCTGCAGCCACTGCAGCACAAGTTCGATCCCCGGCCAGAGAGGTAACCTACATGTCACAACAGACCTCTTCTGTCTCGCCCACTGTTCCCCTCAGCAGTGTATTTCAGTGCATCTGCCTGTTCTGCTTCCCACTCTGTCTCTAGTGAATCCTCTCGCCCCCCACACCTCTGGCCTGTACCCCAGTTCTTGTATGCATAAATAAAATAAAATCTTTTTTTAAAAAAGAATTTCTTCAAGAGCACACTGTTTGGAAAAGCCTATTTTCTAAGGAAAGCATGTACTATGGACAATGAGAAACAAGTAACTCACCATTTTTTCAGTGGTCAAATTCTTAGCTCCTCTGTGTATGACTTTACAATCCCAAGAATAGTAGGGCAATTTGTTCCTACTACTTTTATTATATTGTAGCTTCTAACTAATATGCACTTTTTTTCATTCTGCCACATGTTATGACTAGACTTGTAAGCCTCTGCCAGTTAACTCTATGTCCTCTGATGGCTGAAAAGAAATTTTTGTCATCATCTTATTTCTCATAATAAAAAGTAGTGGGATTTGCATGGAGTACGTTCTCATAACTCTTTGCTGAAAGGATTTCAAAGGCAGAAATAGTATTTGAATAATACAGTGCTAACAATTACATTTTAAAATATTTCCTCGTATTTTAACATCTAAATGATTACTTATCTAATTTTGTAGAAGAGATAGTTTAGCTCAAAATGAGAAATCCTATGAAGAAATATCTCTGATTAACTTTATCACAAAATTTTAAAGGTAGATTTTGCTAACTGTATAAAAATATCAAAATTCTTCAAAAAATACTAAAATGCAAAGCCTATCTTGATAAAGAGAACTAAGTTTCTAAGTTCACATAAGCGAGATAGTTCCTAAAAAACTAATTGTAAACAAAAAACTGTGTCTATATATGTGGAATGAGAGTACAGAAAATAAACCTTATACCTATATAATTTCCTTATCTTGAAAAACAAGCTCTTAAGCAAACTACACAGCAATGTACTTAAAACCTCATTATTGTGTTGTTATATGATTTCGTATGACAGGTAACAAGCAATAGTAAACATAATCTATTTTCTCTTCTGAAACTCTCTTCTCTTTGCAACCTGAACACAAAGTCAGGATCCAAACCACTTAGAACGATAAAAAACTTAATAGTGCATGGGTGAATTGATGGTGGGAATTCTATGGGGACTACACCTGAGAGGAGAAAGCAAATACTGTACAAAAATGAACAATGATGTAAAATATAAATAAACTATATTATAAAAAAATAAAAAGCTTAGTGGGAAAAAGGTACAATCTGTCATTTTGTTTGTTTTAATCTGTAAAAGCCAAAGTAAATTAGAGTGCTAAAAAGTTCTTAACTTTGAAAATTATAATTAATAATGAAAATGTGTTAGCAAAACTCCTAATGATCCCAAATTAACAGAAATTTAAATTATATATTTGTTACCTGTTTTTCAAAAAGAATGTTTAATCATGGAATACTTTTAAGGAATGAAGTTTTACTGCGTTCAGCAGTCACCAGGCATGCTGTACACATTTACAATTAGTATACTACATAAAATTGTAATTACAAAAGCACATTAAAAGTGTTTCAAAATAATGACATAAACAGGAAAAAGGAAAGAAAGGCATACAAATTAAAAAGGAAGAATAACATTATCTCTACTTACAGATACGGTGTTATACATTGAAGACAAATTATTAAGACGCCAATATTACCCAAAGCAACATACACATACAGTGCAATCCTTATGAAAATCCCAATGGCATCTTTTTAGAAATAAAATGCATATAAATTCTTAATGGATCTGAACTAGTCAAAACAATCTTAAAAAGGAACACAGAAGACTCATACTTTCTGATTTAAAAACTTACTACAAAGGTACAGTAATCAAAAAATCAGCCTGATTATTAGCATAAAGAGATAGATTCATAGATCATCAGAATACAGAGACCAGAAATTAATCCTTAAATATATGGTCAAATGATCTTAGTCAAAGATGCCAAGACCATTTAATGGGGAAGTGACAAATCTTTACAACGAAGGAATGAAATTGGACACTTTTGTAACAACATGTACAAAAATTAGCTCAAAGTGGGTCAAAGACCTAAATGTAAGAATAAAAGCATAAAATACTTTCAAGAAAACAGGACAAAGCCTTATGACACTGGATTTGGCAATAATTTCTTGGATAGGCCATCAAAGGCAGAAACAACAGACAAGCTGGTCTTCATGAAAATTAAAAAAACTTTGTATATCAAAAAAATACTATCAACAGCGTAAAAAGGCATTCCACAAAAAGTCAGAAAATACTTGCAAATTATATATCTGATTAAAAAAACTGACAAGAAACAAATGATAGCAAGAATGTAGAGAAATGGAACCCTTGTGCAATGTTGGTGGGAATGTAAAATGGTGAAATTGCTGTGACAGTAGTTCCTCAAAAATTAAACAAAATTACCATGTAATTCAGCAATTCCACTTCTGTGTATACATTCAAAAGAATTAAAAGCAGAGTCTCAAAGAGATGTTTTACATTGATGTTCACGGTCACATTATTTACAATAGCTACTATGTGGAAGCAAACCAAGTGTCCAGTGATGGATGAATGGACAATGTAAACACAGTATATACATATAATGGAATATTATTCAGCTTTAAACAGAAAGGGAATTCTGACATGCTGTAAGAGCATGAACCCTGAGGTATTATGCTACATGGAATAAACAAGTTAAAGACAAAATACCATATGATTTTACTCATATAAAGTACTTACAGTAGTTAAAATCAGAGACAAAGATAAGCAGTGGTTACCAGAAGGTGGAGTGGGGGTTGGGGGGAGTGAAGAAGGGGAATTGCTACTTAACTGGTCTAAAAGTTTTAATTTCACAAAATGAAGTTATAGATATGGATGGCAGTGATGGAAGGTTTACATTATAAATGTATTTAATACCAGTGAGCTGTATACTTAAGATGATAAATTTTACGCTACATGTATTTTACATTAAAACAAGGTAGGAAAAAATGGGGAGAAGAGGGGGACAATCAAGCATTTAACCTTCCTGTGACAACTGCACTTCAGGTGACTACTGAGATAATGATGGCAATTCCTTTCTTAAAATACAAATTTCCAGCTAGTAATATATGCAGAGGAGCACTAGATTTAGAGTTCCACAGATTTTCAATTCCTATTGAAATAATGGACCTGACAAAAATCATAAATTATCTGCTAACCCTATTAGGAGAGCGGTACAATGAAAGGTCCATGCTGAGAAAAAAATTGAAGCTACTGATTAATCTTAAGATCACAAAAGACAGGTTGGCACACTGATAAAATGTTGTGAATAAACTTCCTCTTTCTGAGCTTAGATTTTCTGATCTAATAAACAAGACTGACTAATACATTTTAAAAAGAGAGAGGAACCTAAATTATGTGTCTGCTAATGAGCTAAAACAAACAGCAACACCTGGGAAGTATTCTTGACCAAGAAAGATCTGATTCTCATCAAGGCTCTATATCTAATTACTGGTTTACAGGAAATACAGGTGACAGAGTCACATGTTAGCACCATGGGAATAGAATCAGCAAAATTTAGACTTCTGAGAAATTCTATAACACAGATATTTCTATCTATAGGTACCTTGTTTAGCTCCTGATTTGATATAATAAATTTAGAAGAAGATTGGGGTATTTTGAATGGTGTATAAATATTTGATATTAAGGAATTTTTTTTCAAGTTTCAAAATGACCACGTGGTTGTTAAAAATAAGTTATTTATAAATACAGATTGAAATATTTATAAACTAAATGATACAATGTTTGGCTCTTTTGAAATTATAAGGGGTGGAAGGGGCTCATGGATGGTTGTACATATGAAAAAATATTGGTCATGTATTGATCTCTGTGGAAGCCAGGTACTGATTAAATGTCTGCATATCACAAGTTGACATATCCTGTCAACTTTTCTATGCTTAAAATTTTACATAGTAAAGAGTTTAAAAAAGTATTTGGAATTTTTTTTTATTTAGCTAAATATTTTTACTATAGTTAAATTTATAGCATTTATTAGCCAAACATTTTTAAATGGACAGGGAAATAAACATCAGGCCTGTAGGGTAAGGAAAAATGTCAGGCTTTTCTGCCCTCCCGCCATCAGGATAGATGATGGATCCTTGCGGTCTTGAATGCATGCCTGATGGCGGGCACCTGGAATCGGGTGTGGGCATAGGTAGATGGGATTCACTTGGGCTAAGACCGTGCTTTTAAGGGTGGCGTCATGGGGACACCAGTAGAAGCTGAAAGAGAAGCCGAGAGAAGCGGCAGAAGCTGAGAGAGAAGCTGAGAGAAGCAGCAGAAGCCGAGAGAGAAGCAGAACCCTGGAGAGCCCCGATAGAGTGAAGACCTGCTGGGGGCTGGGAGGACTGCCAGCCTCCCGGCCCCCCAGCACCCCTGCCTGCCAAATACCCACTAAATCCCAATAAAAAACCTGCAAAAGCCACTGAGGACTCTGACTCCTCCTTTACCCTGTCAGCTGGATCAGAAAACCTGCTCTGTGTCCTGTCCTGCCCTTACAAGGCCTCATGTATATAAAGTATCTGAATTCATAAGTGGAAAATTCAAAGTTTGATGTGGTTAACAAGGAGTGAAAACAACAACTATTAAAGACATATTTATTATACCTAGTACTTTTTATGTTGCATCCATTATAATTATCTTTATTATAATCTGTTAATGTTTTGATTTTAACATTCATTAGCAAATGATTTCTAAGAAACCAGTAAGTAAAATTTCACAATTCTTTAAATGCTTCAGAAGAAATATTTATAACCATGGCAACTCACCAGCTGTAAAATCTTCAGTCAGATCAATGAATGCATGAGAGTGAGGATTTCGCATTTTACTTTCAGTGTTCAATGCAGGATGCCATGACAGATTCCTAAAAAAAAACACCCAAAAATCTTTTAAGACAAATATGAATGAAGTATTGTTATTTTTCAAACAATCTTCACATGTAAGATATCTTGTAATTTTAGGTATTTTTATTGAGATATCATACATACCATTAAATGTACTCTTTAAAAAGTGTGCTATTTAATGATTTTTAGTTTATTCAGTGTGCAGTCATCATCACTGACTTCAAAATATTTTTGTCTCCTGAAAAAGAAACCCCATATCCACTACTCACTTCCCATTCAGCCTCTGGGAACTAGTATTTTCTTTCTCTATGGATTTTCCTATTCTGGATAGTTCATAAAAATAGAAGCATGTAATGTGTGGACACACTTGTCTGGTTCACTTAAGAATAATATTCCAGGTTCATCTAGGTTATACTGTGCTTCAGTACTTCATTCCTTTTTACGGATGAGTAATACAGCAGTATAAGGGTCTATCTTTTGTTTATCCAATCATCTGTTCATAGACATTTGGTTTGTTTCCACTCTTGGCTTAGTGCTGCTATGACTACTCATAAACATGTTTTCATGTGGACCCATGTTTTAACCCAATTCATTAACCCAATTCATTTGGGTTGATACCTAAAAGTGGAACTGCTGGGTTATAACCATGCTAATAACTGTATACTTAACTTTCTGACAAACCATCAAACTATTTTCTAAAGAGTTCTACCATCTTACATTCTTACTAGTAATATAGGAGGGTTCCAACACCTCCACTTGTTTAATAGTTAATATCGACCATTTGTTTTAATATAGCTATCCTAGATAATAATATAGATCTCAAGATTCTGATTTGTATTTTCTGGTGGCTGATTCTGAGCAAGTTTTTCTGTGCTTCCTTCCCATTTGTAAATCTTCAATGGAGAAACTTTACCCAAAAGCTCTGTCTATCTTTAAATTGGGTTCTTTGCTAATTTACTTCTGAGTTGTAAGAATTCTTCACGAAGGACTGGATACTACATCTTTATATACGGTTTGCCAGTATTTTCTTTCATTCTGTACATTATCTATATATTTTTAATAAGTGTCCTGTGATGTATAAAAGTGTTTAATGTTGATGGATCCAGTTCAACTATTTCTTTTCTTTTGGTGCTCATTTTTTTGGTGACACATCTACAAATTCATTTCCAAATCTGAGGTCGTGAAGATTTACCCCTATCTTTTGTCTAAAGATTTGATCACTTTAGCTATTACATTTACCTCTTTGCTTCTTTAAGTACAAGAAAAACACATTTAATATTGCGATGGATTTTTTTTATCACCAAATTATTTATTTGGACTCAGAATTAAAAGAACATGTAGTGAAATGTATGTTTATTCTGATATTTCTCATTAGTTGTAAAACTAACGTAGGACAAATTACCAGATAAATTTTACATAATTTCTTCAGGAGTAGGGTGTTTTTTTTTTTTTTATAAATTAAAATCTGTTTTTTCCAAACATGAAGTTAAGGGATGTATTCATGTCTGCTTTGCTGTATATTTGCTTAAGCTTAAAAAGCTCCCTATTCAGGGGCCTCCCTGGTGATGCAAAGGGGTAAGCACAGCACTGTGAAGTTATCTGCAACCTCTGCAACATGAGTTTGATCCCTGGCCAGGGAGCTGCATCCTCATGGTACAGCAGACCTCTCCTGTCTTGCCCGCTGCTTCCCTCAGCAGTATATTATTTACAGTCAGTTTGCCTGTTCTGTTCCCCACTCTGTCTTTGGTGAATCCTCTCACACCAGCCCCCGCCCTGTACCCCAGTTCTTGTATGCATAAATAAATAAATCTTTTAAAAAAAATCTTCCTATTCTGAGCTTTTTGATAGTCTCGGCCAGTATCAATAGGTCTCCCAGATGCCTGACACTTAGTTTTGTATTCTCTAATCTTGTCCACAAGGGTTTTCTATACAGGATCAAGTTCTTTATTAAATGCCACTGCTATAGCACCAGTCTATCCTGAGATAGGCTGAGTCTGCAGACTGAATGAGAGGGGAGAGCCTGAAGAGCATCTGAAGAATTATGGTGATTGTTTAACAACAGGAAGTTTCTCAGAGAAGCCTGTAGCTAGATCAGAGTTTTTCTAAGACTGTCAAGGGTAATACTGATTTTCTTTTATGAACATTAATTCCAAAGATGAAAGCCATGCAAAAGAATGAATTTAGAAACCTACTTCAAACCATACAGAAAAAATTAACTCAAAATGGATCAAAGTGCTAAATCCATAAAACTCTTACATGAAAATAGGAATAAATCTACATTGCAGATTTGGAAATGGAGTCTTAGCTATGATACCAAAGGAGCAAGCGCAAAAAAAAAGAGAGAAAATAGATGAAATATACCTATCAAAATAAAAAAAAAAGACTTGTACATCATAGGATACTATCAAGAAATTGAAAAGATATTCAATAGAATGTGAGAAAATATTTACAAATCTTATTTTTGATAAGGGTCTATATAAAGAATTGTTACAACTCAACAACAAAAAGACAAAATCCTAATTTAAAAATGGACAAAGAAATAGACATTTCTTCTAAGAAGATAAACAAATGGTTACCAAGCACATAAAAGATGCTCAACGTCATTATTCATTAAGAAAACGTAAAGCAAAACCACAATGAGAAACCACTTTACAAGCTCTGGGATGACAATAATCAAATGCCAGAAAATAACAAGTGTTGGAAAGAATGTGAAGAAATAGAAACTCTTGTATATTGCTGAGAATATAAAATGATGTATCACCTACGGAATACAATTTGGCAGATCTTGAAAAAAGTTAGGCATAGAATTAGCATATGGGGGAGTCCAGAAAGATGGCACAGGATAAAGATGCTGGGCTGGCCTCCTCAATATATTCACAAGTAGATTGCAGCAGAACAAAGGCAAAATCCCCTGAGGGGTAAATAATAACAACAACACACATCAGGGAGCAATAGTTGGACAGGAAGGGGTGGGAAAAACTTGAAGTGACCTGTGTCTATAATGGTACCTGGGCAATAAAACTCATGAGAAGGAGGACTAGCTGCTATGCAGAACTGCCTACAATTGTAGAATTGTGGGCACATGCCAGTATGGGAGATTCTTGAGACTCAGCAAGTACCGGATAAAGGTTTGTGCAGTGCTGGCACCCAGTACAGATGGTACACTGCTGGGGAACTATAGGAGCAGGGGGGTGCAAAGTGAGGATTAGTGCCTTAAGCCTGAGTCTCTCAATAAGGAAAAGATGGAACTTGAAAGGGAGAAAAGGAAACACTTATGTTTTCTTATAAAAGCAGCTACTACTCCAAGCCATGGTTTGGATATTCAAAACACCTATCACTCTCCCCACCCCTTAGGGCTTAACCCAAGAAGATAACAAATGATAACTTGCAAAAGCTAGAGTTTAAGCACCTGTTGACAACAAAAGCAAAGGTCCTAAGATAAGGCTCTATGCTGGAAAAGACTACTCTTAACCTGCTGTCCTCTATCAACTACAATACCGCACTGCATCCGGTGCTCAAAAATAGCTTACAGGTGGAAGGTGACATGAAACTACATAGATCTAGGATGTGGCCTAAAGAAGGGGATCACTATGGATTCTAACCACACAAGTGAGGTACGCACAGCACAGGAGGAAGCTTGAATCCTTGATACTCACTGGAGGTAATCCTTCCATGTCCTACTACCCAGGTTCTTTTATACCTACTATCCCTTGCTGGTACCAGTTTCCAATTACCTCAACAGGTGGAAAGTCAACAGTCTGAGAGTCTATCCCTGCCATACCCATAAAAACCACAAACAAAGAGATAAAAGAACATAAACAAATGCTGGTGTAAAAAGGAATCCCTGAGAGGAGTCTCAATGCAGTAGAAATGGAGAACATGACTGAAGAGTTCAAGGTAATAGTAATAACAATGCTTATGGAATTCAGAAAAACAATAGAGGATAAAAAACAGGAACATAATAAAGACCAAGAAACCATGAGGCAGTCACAAAGCTAAGAAATATAACCAAATTAAAAATATAACCAAATTAAAAATATAATTGTACAACCAAACTAAAAATAAAATTGAGGGCCTCAAGAGCAAACATAAGCAATGGGGAGAATTAATGAGCTCAAAAGTACAATGATAGAGAACGCACAGATAGAACAAAATACAGAAAAAATAATCCCCCCCCAAAAAGAAAATAGTGCAAGAGCCCTTTGAGATATCCTAAAGAGAAATAATATCCACATCATGGAGGTCCCAGAAAGGGAGAAGGGGGGAAAAAAAAAAAAAAGCACAGGAAATACATTTAAGAAATAATTGCTGAAAAAAATATCAATCTTGGAACGAACCAGATGTAATAATACAAGAGGCCAAGAGTTTCTAACAAAATGACAGACACACCAAGAGACATAAAAATAAACTTGTAATACCCAAACAGCTTGAATTGTTGAGTACTAAAAACATCATGAGGGCCTCCCTGGTGACGCAGGCAGTTGAGCACCACAGTATGAAGCTGTCTGCAGCCTCTTCAGCGCGGGTTAGAGCCCAGCCGGCCGGCAAGAATCCCACATGGCGCGGCAGACCACTCCTGTCTTGCCTGCTGCTCCCCTCAGCATTGTATTTCGTCAGTCTGCCTGTTCTGTTCCCTGCTCTGTCTCAGGTGAATCCTCTCACCCTTCCGTGCATCTGGCCTGTACCCCGGTTCTTGTATAAATAAATAAATCTTTAAAAAAAAAAAAAAACATGAGATAAAAGGGTAACCTATAAGGGAACACCAATCAGACGGGAGGTGTTCAGTAAAAACATTACAAGCATGAAAGGATTGGCCAAGAATACTGAAAGCACTTGAAGAAAAAGATTTGCAGCTTAGAAACCTTAACTCTGCAAGGTTAACATTCAATATAAAAGGAAAAGTAAGAAACTTCAATGAAAAGCAAAAACTGAAAGAATTTATCAACACCAAGCTGCACATGAAAAAAAGTCTTAACTGGGTTATCATAAAGCAAAAGAACAATGAATACAGAGATAACAG